TACATTAATAGGTTAGAGTACACACTAAAATACGTAGGAAGTCAACCCGCTCTCTCCTACCTCTTGTTAAATTTCTTCAATTTCCAAATTATAACTTCCTTCCTCTACAAAAAAAAAAGTATACAATAATTGTATAATCTGTACTCACCATCCAGAGAATTGGATCATTTACTAGAGGGAAAAGAAGTCATTGATACACGGTAGTGTAGTGTAATAGGCAGCTATCAAACAGGGAGGTACTACTACCTGGGAAGATATTGGAAGCATAATGTGTTGTCTAATGGTAGACCCTGCTGCCATATGGCATCACGAATATTGTGACCAAGTCCCAGGTTGCTGATCTGACTTTCTGCCTCATTTACACACAATTGCAGTGTTTCAATTGTTTCTCTTACTATTGACAACACAACATGCTGTATATCGTTTCTAACTCATGATTTATTTTTTCGTTCGTGTATTTATTTATGATTATTATTATTAGTATTTTAATTTTTTGGTTATAATTTTTATCTTTTCATTAATTATTATTATTTTTTTTTTTTGCCCCCCAGGCCCTGATGTGGGTCAGTGACCTGTGCTTGGGTGGGCTAATCCCCGAAAAAAAAAAGAAAAAAAATATGGCACAGAAGCCTTCACCTACCAGTGTATGTACCTAATTTATCATCATCACTGTTTTACAGCAATTTTGCAACCATGCATGGGTTAACCATGTTATATTTAGAAAATGTTTGGAGATGGGTATCAACCAGAGCAAGACATTCCCATACTGCACCAATCCAGAAAAAACAGCAGAGACCAAGGAAAAGACAATTCTAGTGTCTCTGTTGCCATCAGGCAAATTTCAAACAGGTTTTACAGTTGGCTGCCTTTCCTATCACCAACTTGCTTTAACACAGCAGAAATTGGGTATTACAGTACAGTGATCCCTCGGTTAACGAAATTTCGGTTAACGAATTACCTTCCATAAGATTCTTCACTTCGGTTAATGAAAAAACTTTGGTTAACATGTTTTCGACTGCTTTTGCATGCTCACCAGCTGTAGTATTAGTCCGCCAATACAGTAATCGGTTTTAGGGCTTAAATTCGTTACCATTTGAGTAAATATCAAGAAGGTTGTACTATTCAATAATTTTCCAAGTCTTATATTAAAGTTTTTAGTCATTTTGACAATTATTTAACATAATTGAAGTACAGTGAACTAGTTTTTAGCACGCCAAACAGCCACTTGACTCACCCAAAATGGCGTCAGTGTGTCTCCTTGCTCAGTGGAGGAAGCTTCTTGCCCGAGACTCTCTTGAACATAAACTAGTTTTACGTTTTTCCAGTACAATTATTGGTCATTCTGAAGTTTATTTTACATATTGACAATATATAATGCAGTGCAGTGTTAATTTAAAGAAAATAATCTTGAATTACACTTAGTGAACTAAAATTTTATGGGTGAAATGCCTTCTCTTCTCCTCCACCCTCATTCTAATTCCCATCATCATCATCAACCAGGAGCCTTCTACATGCACACCTCAAAGTAGGTGTACTTTACTGCATTTATTTTTAGTTTGTATGTAATTTTCGGTGAGCTGGAACCAATTACCCAAAATCCCATTAAAACAATGGTTTCGATTAACGAAATTTTCGGTTAACAAACGACCTTCTGGAACAAATTGTGTTTGTTAACCGAGAGACCACTGTACTGTATAATGTACACTTCCAAGCACCCTTTACCTGGCAATGCAGGGTTGCTACTCCCTGGACTAATTAAAGATTATTCACCTACCCTCCTTAAAAAATAATACTGTACAATGGAAAAGGATAATTTTAAATGAAATTCTTTTTTTTTTTCATTTAATTAATGGTACGTACATTCAAATCTGTTGGGAATATGGCAGCCATATGTAATAGAATGCTAAAATTTTCACAAATCTGTTTTTCAAACCTTGTGCTGTAGTTTCTTCAGGTTGAATTTCTGTCATGAGCCAAAAGTGCTTATCATATAAAGTTTCTTATAGTTTTTCATCATGCAAATTTGTTCACGTTAATTTTTTTTTAAGTTTAGTCTTATCACAGCATGTGACAATTGCAGTGCCTTGTCATCAACTGATTAACAAACAGTTACTTACTAGTAATAGCACAGAGTAGATGTGGGATCTACCCTGCTACATCATACCAATCCTTATTTTGGAGTTATGGATTTTTCAAAGGTTAATTTTTAACTATTGTTTATATCAGTTCTGTAATTTTGCTTAAATCAAGTTAAATTTTTTTACAGTACACCATCAACGGTATAGTTCGGTTCGCAGTTAGATATACAGTTAGCGGACCATTTAACCACCAAACTTGGGACCTTAGGTGAACTGGTTTCCTGGATTTGGCAGATTTCTGGTCCTAAGCCCAGTACACTGGACCCTCACTTTATGCGCATTCATAACATTTGTTATATGTGAATTTACATTTATGCGGCGACCCTATTTCTACCCATAATTCATTTTATGCGGAAAAGATTCCCTACTACTCTATGTGTTCTGTAGAAGAAATGGCGCACTAGTTTTATATTATATTATCTTTATTTCTAAGCGAGCATTTTAAGGATTTTTCTACAACTTTTATAACATTAATGCTCCAGAAATAGTTGTGAAACGTGGCTCAGTGTGTGTGTGTGTGTGTGTGTGTCTACTGTGCTGTATGTGACGACACGAGACGTGGCTGGAGTGGTGAGTCAGCTACTCCACACACTTTCACTTTCCACACAAACACCAATGCTCTTCATGTGTCTTAGTTTAAAGTTTTATATTATATTTTATAGTGTTATACTACATTACCTTCATTTCTAACCCACACTAGAGTATTGTAATGATTATTCCACAACTTTTATAGCATTGCTGTTTACTTTTAGTAGTTGTGGAACATATCCTAACTTTCCCCATAAGATTAAGTATTCACTAAATGCGGATTCTCATTATGCTGAGTGAACGCAAGCATAGCATAAAGCGAGGGTCAGGTGTATATAAATATGTACAGTAAACCCTTGCTATTCGCGATTTTGACTTGTATTCGTGGTAAGCAGATGGTGGTTAGCTTACGAGCTTGCCCGCAGCACAACAAGTCACCCCCACGCACCCACAGCATCTCCTCTCCCTTTGTTTGTGCTCAACCATTGCCTGTGATGCAGCATTTCTTGTGTTATATTGAAAACTTTAGTGTTCTGTGTGAAATGGACCCTAAAAGACTGCCTAGTGTCAGTGCTAGTGGAGTGTAATGTTTAGAGACCTCAAAGCCAAGAGGAAAAAACTACCAATCACAATGTAATTCAAGAAAGAACCAGCTACTCGCCCAGTTGATTCGTCTCCCACACCTGCTCGGTCAGCTGCTGCTGCCGCCTCACCACCCACCTCCTCGCCACCTGCCTCCCGCGACGCGTCTCTCCACCAACAACCACTGCATCACCCTCTTCCAACAGTGATCCTGATGATCTCCCTATGCTTCAGTAACCAGATTTCATTCTATTGTACAGTACACTTCATCAAGCTCTAAACTGCATTTATGCAGTGTAAGTCTGAGTCACAATGCCCCAACTTCTTTTGCTTCTTCACTGTTAAGAGAGTCACACTTAACTAATTTCACCCTTTTCCCTCTTCACGGCTACCTTTACTTTCGCTTGGCAAAGTAGACTAGCACAATGTAACATGCAACTTCCCCCGTTTCATGTTTTTATTCTATTAATGAATGTTATCAAACTAAAACAAAGATACATACAGGCAATAACCATTATATGATGGAGTTAGGGACCTTGAGTTGTACATTACAGAAATTTGGGTGTGCCTCTCAGGGTCACTTCCTCAAACCCCTTATTTCTCATTAGACAAATTCCTTGCCAACCACGGTTTTGCCATCCGCAGGAGAATTCTAAAATATAACCCTCAAGGTTGGCAAGGGATTATGTATTTTATTTTATCTGAGAGTTAACTTGATTTGAGAAAACTAAAAGAATTATAGAGTAAATTATATAGAAAAACACCCTCTTTGTTAACACCTCCCTAGACCCTTCCATATATCCCACACTGAAAAAAAAAAGAAAAAAAAAGTAAGGGAAATTGACACTTTTAAGACTAAATATGATTTTGCTTGGGTATTCTGTATTGCTGCAACTAAAAACCTAGCAAATGGGTTACAAGTACCTTTGTACATGTGCATGCTAAGATGTGTGGAGACAGCGGCAGTCAGGCTAGTTGACAGGCTAACCATCCAGTTAGCAAGCATACTCAACAAGTGTTTATTTATGCTCATACAACACATTATACAGCCTTCATGCATTTCAATGCCATCTTTGTTATAACAGCTCTTATTTTGCCCTAATTACTCTTCACTGTCCACACAATAGACTTACTTAAGGCATAAAGTTCTGGGAGAGGAGGGACATCTAGTGTAAATCAAACATTCTATATACCCATTTGACTACCATGCTGAACTGTGTATAAGTGAATTTATGCCATGTATAAGAAAACCCATGTGCAAAACGACCATTTAGATTGATAGTTTACTGTGTAAGCATAATTTGTGCACATGTGTATATATGCCATTCCTTCTTCTTTCTCAAAAGGCCTAATCCATATCATATTACCCATAGATTTACTACTGTACTTAATTATGTAATTAAGTTATTCATAACAAGGTACTCTACATCTATAAAAAGAAACTAACAAGACTAAAATAACACTAAAACATATAAGGTTATTCAACTAAACATATCTAAGACAACGGCATACCAAATGAATATTTATCTATATACTTCTATAATTAAGAAGGAAAGATATACATACAACAATAACCAAACTCAAAATATTATGGTAGCAAAGAAAAACATAAAGCAACATACATACAGAGTGGATAAGTAGCAAACTTAAGAAACTGTCTGAAAGCAACTGAAAATTAAATAAATCTGTTAGTACAGTACATTACTATGAGACATAACAATATCAACATGAATACCATGGTAGGAGTCCTACCTTAAGACGTAGCTGTGCTCTTAGCCATTTTCGCAATCCTGCCAACTCCCAGGCAGGATGTACCACAACTCCCGGAAGGCTTCGGTCCAACAGCGTTCCATTCCACCGTGAATAACCACCCGCATATCTATGATAAATATCTTCCTTCTGTAGGTAAAGCTTCACAGGGCAGGCATAATCTGCAGTTTTACTTCCTTGACTTGTATCCCCAGAACCTTGACTTTTATTACAAGGCTCCTGATCCCCATCAACAGGCTCGTGACCATCATCTAAAGATTCTTGACTCATGTTTGATAATGACTGGATCATGTCTGATGAAGTTGGGGTTTCAACAGATGATGAGTGACTGATAGATGTGGGTTGACTAGTATCAGTTGATTCCTGACTTGCATCAGTTGACACCCGGCTAATATCACTTGACCCTTGACTGACATCATATGACACCTGACTTACATCAGCTGATGCTTGAATTACATCAGCTGATGTTTGACTTACATCAGATGATGCTTGACTTACATCAGCTGATGCTTGACTTACTTCTGCTGATGCTTGACTTACATCAGCTGATGCTTGACTTACATCAGCTGATGCTTGACTTACATCAGCTGATGCTTGACTTACTTCTGCTGATGCTTGACTTACTTCTGCTGATGCTTGACTTACTTCTGCTGATACCTGACTTACATCAGCTGATGTTTGACTAACTTCTGTAGAAGCCTCACTAATATCGTTTGACACTTCACTAACATCTGTTGACTCCTGGCTGGCATCAGTTGATTCTTGAGTAAGGTGACCTGATCCTGGAGTCACAACTGGGGAATCTTGAGTTAACTCGGATCCTTGACTAATATCAGCTGAATTTTTCCTAGTATCCCATGCATTAAGCAATGACTCCTCTAGAAGTGAATTTGAAAAGTTATCCACACATTCTTTTGTAAACTCTTGAAGAAATCCTTTTCTTGCTGAAGGATAGAATTCTTTCTTTACAGAACCAGATTCAATAACTTTCTCCTTCGTGCCCATTTTTAGAGCAGAAAAGTGACGACGGATGGCCATCTCTAGGCAACTAACAAAAGTGTGTGTAATATCAGGATCTCCAACTTCTAACTGAATACCAGTACTGCTTCCCGTAGTAGCCAAATCATCCCGTACAGCCTCTTTACTTAGTACACATACCCACTGGTCATTAGAGCCAACCTGTAAATACACGAGTCAATATTAATTACAGTATAAGAAAAAATCTGGCATCACTTTTCATACCATACTAAGTTCAAACACAAGACTTAATTCCCTTACTTTTTAAATTATTATTTTGAAGATCACCAAAAATATTTTTACCCTCTTTACATTCTAGCTTTGAATGATGCAAGACTTAAGAAATTCATGTATATAGTATCAAAATTTAAATTTTAGTATTTTAAATTCAGCATATCTCCAGAGTACAGTAACTTTCAAAATTTGAAAACACTCAGCTTGAAGGAGCATCTCTACATGAGAAGCACAGAAAACAGTTTATATTTCCATGTGACCATGAACCAATGACATAAAAGACAATACCGGAAGTACTGGACTACAGCAACATAATTACTCAGATGAAATCCGATATTAATATTTCCGTTAGCCGGAATCCCTTTTAACCGGAACTCTCTGTTAGCCAGAATTGAAATTATCTCTGAAAATTGTTCCCAAAGCCGTAATTTTCCAAAAAATTACGACTTTGGGAGTGATTTTTCAAGGGGCATATTTTCTGGAAAATTCCGTGAAAAATTTCCCAGTACCCAGAAAATTTGGGAATGGGGAATTCCCCCTCTCCCACATTTGAGAGATGAAAATTAGGATAATTTTCTGGAAATTCCGAGAAAAGTTTTCCTGTACCCGGAAAATTCCAGGGATGGGGGATTTTTTCCGGCTTTGAAAGATGAAATAATGCTTCATTCTGGAACACCCGAAAAAAATTTCCAGGTACCCAGAAAATTCCGGGGAAGGGGGATTTTTTTCCAGTTTTGAGAGTCATCTTGTTCCTGCTAATGGAGATATCACTGTATTTGGATGTCCATATCAGCAGGGAGGCACAACCATTCAAAACAACAACCACCATATTACACTAACACAAATTGGCTTATTTGAGCTCCTAATATAGAAAACTAGTTTAAGTAAAATAATCATACTTATGATACATTTTCAGTTTGTTCAGTTGTTTTTTATTTAAAGTGTTAAAAAAATTGTGGCCAAGTCCCAGGTTGCTGACTTTCTGCCCCATTTACACACAACTGAAGGGTCTCAATTGTTTCTGTTACTTTGACAACACAACATATACGCATATCGTTTCTTACTCTTGATCTGTTCTATTATTTCCATTTCTATATTTATTTATGGTTCAGTTTTTGTTGGCCCCCCCCCCCTCCCCGACCCAGATGTGGGTCAGTGACCTGTGCCGTGGTGGGCTAATTCCAGTAAAAAAAGTCTAGATTCTAGAAGCTTTCAGTGCTACAAAGATATCTGAAGGTTCTCAAGTCCTGATGTATGTATGTATGAGGCATGGAGGGCCTTGTGCAGTGAGAGATAAAGATGTTGATGTGGATGTGTACAGTATACCTCTGACAATGAGTGGATATGTTCACAAAATTCCCATGCCGCTGTCATAGATAGATTTAACAACGAATAAAAGGGAATAGGTCACATTCCATTGTTATTCTGTATTCTACATATGCCAAAAAAAAAAAAAAATTGCTTTAATAAACAATATAAATAATACACAGCCCATCATAAAATACAACAGCACACGTTTTATGTACAAAAAACAGCTCCTACCACCCTTGAACAATCACATGAGCGACACCAAGAGTGGAAACATTTAACCAGCCACTGACTTGAGAGACGTGGCTGCATCATCCACTGTTTTATACTAACTCTGTGTGTATTAGAAAATTAAGCTTAAATGTTTTATATTGTAATATACTGTATAATGCAAAAATAACCATAATATATCACTTATCTGTCCTACAGGTGTCAAGATTCTGCCACACCAAAATATGTCACCTCTCACACGACTCGGTGCTAATGCCATTGTTTTATGTAAGTAACCACAGAATTTGCATTAAAGTCATCTCAATGTGCTAGTGTGCCTTATTAATAAAGAAAATACTAAATACTGTACTGTAGATAATAAATAACAATAATTAAGAGAGTTAGGATATATTCTGTGGGAGAAGGTGTGTATCTGAGAGTAGTGGGCGGTTTGGCAACACACCATGACTCACCGAACCACTGTATACATTTAAATCATACAAGTGTTCCAACACCAAACAATTGAATTTTAGAAAACCATATTTAGCTCTTACACAATGGAGGGTTTGCATGCAAAGAAATGGAGCGGGGGAAAAAAAATACAAAACTACATTTGGGTTCATAGCTAGGAAAGAGAAGGTGGTGGAGGAGGGAGAGAGTGCTGGATGGATTGAGGGGACAACTCTCCCGTGCTCGGAAGCTTGCAATCCCTTTATAATGACAGTGCAATTTCACCATAATTCCCATATTATTTACATTCACTTGGTGCCGGGTTAATACAACATTATCGTAAAATAACAAATTTTCTCCCAAAATATCCCAATGAACTGTTCCTCTGTAGTATATTCCTGATCTCTTGTTTACAAAGCAGGATCAGGTGATTATTCATACTCTCCCTAACAATGTTGTCAGCACTCACCATCTCTCGAGCACCATTGTTGTCACTGCCCCTGAGGGTTGGTGCTTATCATAGGATCTGTCTTCAGCACTTAGTAAATACCTGTAATATTGTAGCGCATTTAACAGAACTTAATAAATATTACTGTAGTGTATAATGCCTTTCTACATGCCCTGGTTTATTTACTGATCAGATGTCTCAGTGCACAAGTAGTCAAATCGAGCCACCATGTATCACTCAAAGGTAATAAATAACGTTGTTATAAGCATATCTCCATACCAAATACTATACAGTATGTTATACTGTAATGACCCCATTGTAAGCTTATTTGCTGAAAGATCTCTCTCCAGGAACACATCCTGAGCTTTCAAGGAGTATTACTGTACATGTTGGAATGCATATATCCCTAATTACATTAAATCTTATGGGGAAAATTCCTCATTATAAAACGTTTCACTGTAAGTCGCATTTCTCTGTAAGACATCCCCAACATAAAGATAACGCCCCCATATACTGCCCATTTTCCACTTTCTACCATGGGTCCTTCACCTACACCACTAATCAGTGCTTTGTTTTTGCCACATCAATCTCATTGTTGTGACTATTACATCCTTCCGTTTTTTAAATTTCCCTACTGTCTCTCCAATATCTTCTACCAGCACTATATTACCAGCATATTACAACTTACAGGGCAGACTAGCCCTAAAGTCCTATTATGTTGCCTCTAGTATAATGATATACAGAAGAGGAGTCAAGACAGACCCCTGATAAAGCCCAACTTTTACCTCAAATTACTCACTACAGGTATTTACACTTACAGCAATTTTAGAGCCTTCATATACAGTAATGCCATAAGCACTTGAATAAGACACTCCTCAACCCATAACTATACTTCATTTTCCCACTTTGTTTCTTCAAATGGTACCAAGTCAAATGCCTTCTCTAAGACAGGCAAAATATACTCTATGCTTATTAAGTGAATATGTTACTGATTCAGCCCTCTTTTCTAGGTTCCCTTCCCTCCATGTACACTACTCACAACCTTCTCTTTCCTGAGTTTATACAGTATTTATTCTAATGACCAACATTCTGATCCTTTTCATCAAACCAAACCACTTTGTACTTAACTGTTCAATATGGCACATTAATGTTCGTCATTTGTGTACTGTTGACTGCTACACTTGAGTATCCCACTCTCTCAATTTATACACTGTATTAGTCACACCTTACAATGAAGGAACCGATTCCCGGCACATACTACCGCCTTCAAAAAACCTGTAACTTAACAAGTGCGGGGCCCACAAACACAGCCTTTCATCTATTTATTGAAAATTCCGAACACCCACAAGATGCAAGGAAAACTTTGATTGAGTTTAAGGCACAGTGTAACCAGCTTCATTATTATGCAGGACATATCCCATTTAACTTTCTTTGAATAAATATAAAAATATATAAATTGCTGAAAGCATAACCGTTGTAAGGGTGTGTTTAAGTTATCTTCCATACATATACAATATCTGAAGACATACTAAAAATATCAAAGGTCATTTCTGGAGAAAAAAAAATCAGTATCGGAAGTTAACATATACACTATAACCAGGTTATCTACAGGTGGCATATAGAGTACTTAAACTGTGGCATAACAAACAACAGAAAAAACGAAATTCCATTGTTAATCATCAAAATGATAGCCTCTTGGCACATAATGCATATACAGCATGTGCAGTATCTCATTTATACCATGTTTTGTGGCAGTTCATTAAGATTGTTGGACAATTGATTACAGTATCTTTACCTCTCTGACTGCTAAATGTGGTGAGAAGATAAAAAAGGAATTAAGATGCGAACATTTAAAAAGATTGTGGTCTACAATCTGAATTATTTAACTTTCACAACTGTCATACATACAACAAAGACAGATCTAAGATGATAACATTATATAATGTACAGTACCTCAGTCATAATTCACAGCTTTGGATTTCTTGCCAGGAAACAATTAGTCATGCAAGGCTGCTCAACTGTACTATGCAACACTTACGATAATAGTGTGAATGTCATGGTAAGTGACAACATGGCGAGGTTTTGCTCCTCTGGGTAAGGGTGTGACTACATAGAGAGCTTGAGATGATAAAACAACTTGTACACTAACACTGCTGCCACCGCTGTGACCCTCGCGCATGTTAAACAACTGAAATAAGATAAAAAGACATGGTTACATTTCCAAGCCAGGCTTCAAAAGCCTATTTAACCCAAAATTAAGCTAAAATGTTGTACATTTGCAATGAATAATGCATGCTCAATGTGTGATGATTGTGATTTATCTTGTGCATCTGCTTTTTTGTAATTGCAGCAAATAAAAAAAATAAATCTCCAGATTCTAAACAAAATATAATATAAAAAATATAAAAAATTTAATATTAAATGAAGACAATTACAACACCTACAGTAGTTATCCCTAAGAGAGGAAGTGACCAAGATATAAAGGGACAAGACCTGCAATTCTGTTTACTTAAACACTACCTGTTGTTACATAAATGATCTTACTTAAAGTATTAAAAAAAATAAAAATAATAGTGATATTACCCAACAGAGATATAAAAAGAGAAAGGGGAGGAGGGGATGGTGTTTTCAGGCCTTATTTGTATGTCTAGAGCAGCGATTTTCAACCAATGTGACGTTAGTGTGCCGCGAAGCATCCGTAGGTGTGCCGCAGGAGTTTAAATAATTTGTCGCTACTGAGTAAAATTGAAAAGTACTTCCCATCACTTGAAGTATCTTCCTTGGACTGGGTGAGAGATCCTTTTTGTGGTAAGTGCGTGCGAGTCAGCAGGATTAACTGTTGCCGAAGAGGATGAGCTGACGGAAATCAGAAACGACAGAGGACTGAAACTGAAGCACCTATCAACAGATATGACTTCATTCTGGTTGTCCCTTCGAGAGGAATACCCCATTATTACAAAGAAGGCAATTGAAGCACTTCTTCCTCTCTCTGCTATGAACACAATGAAAAGCAAGAACAGGTCGCGGCTTCAAACACTGGAGGACTTGAGGGCATGCCTGTCAACCATTCGACCTCGGACAAGGAACATCATGAGACAACACCAAGCACAGGTTTCCCACTGATATTTTTATGTAAGCAAAGGCCTTTTATTTTTACTCATGTTTGTATTTGAATACAATCTACTGTAGTATATCTGAAAGTTTCATATTTTTTTATGAATGGCATCTTTTTCAATGACATCTTATTTCAATGTGTAGTAATAACAAATATGCACAAAACTTTCAAATTATTTTGAAAACCATGATCAACAATATACAGTACTGTACTTTTGGCAATAAAATTAATAAATTATTATTTTTTTTAATTATGAACACATTCTTATCATTCATTTTCTTTTAAATGATCAAATCTATCATTAAATACTGATGGTGTGCCTTGACTATTTTAGTGCCTGGCTCACTGTGCCGTGAGATGAAAAAGGTTGAAAATCACTGGTCTAGAGGTTCATAAGTGGACCTTTAACTCCTGTTACATATAACTAACATAATTTATTCAAAATTTCTGATCTAAAAGTATGACACATTATTTGATACATTTCATAAAATATGCATTAATCAAGGGTCACCTGGAATGTGATGGGAAGTATAACATCACCAAACACATGCCCAACACTCACCCTATAGAATTTTTCATCTTCTGAAGTAAATAACTGCTTAGAAATTCTCTGCCTTGTCATGGGGTGAGCAAAATGTCCAGGAATTATCATATTAGACTGACCCTGAGCCACTTCCAATGCAAGGCGATCCTCCTGTAGGAATTAATGGAAATTGAACAAAATCTTTAGAATACACAATAATCTGCTGAAAGATACATGTACAATCAAAGACAAAAGTCGTGTCGCAGTTTTGTCCGAAGATTAAATATAACTCGTGAAACATTATGAGAGCCCCCTACCACAAGGCGGAGCGCACCAAAAGTTTTAGCCCTTCTGCATATGTTTTCACCAAATTTCATGACACGACTTTTGTCTTTCATTGTACATGTTTATAAAGGTTACGTAAACTATTCTGGTCACAAACATATTGAAAGATATTTTATTCTTTTTATCAATCCTTTTCCCAATTATTATCGTGACCATAAACAAGAATGAATACTGTACACATATACATTCCTTTCATTTGCCGTCATTCATTTTCTTCACTACAACAGATGTGCTTTGCTCCAGTCCTCCCCTTCCACAACATGGCCCCATACCTTGCTTACCCACAACTTCAGACAGGCCAGCCTTACCCATCAGCAGCCTGTCCTACCCTAAGAATCATTCAACAATAGAGTATTGTTCTTTACTCATACTCATATATTTCTACTTCCTGGATGTCCATTTTCTCCACTTAATCTTTTTTTTCTTGATCTTCCTCTCTTCCCTCTACCATCCATCAATGATTTATTTCCTGTACTGTACACCTTTTCTAACAATCTTTCACTTCCCATTTTCTCAATACAGCCCTTTAAAAGTACCTTAGTATGTCCTCATCGATTCTCTGCCCCTATTTTTTTTTCACTTTCACATCTCTTTATTACTGCATTTCATATTCTCTACATATTATTTACTCTATACACTGCTCTCAAAAACATACTCTGTCATTTCTAATCTGCTCACATTCTCTTGCATCCATTAATTTTTCATTAAACTTCAGTAGTACCTCTAGTTCACAAATCAGTATTTTGTAAATTAATCTGCCCTAAATTCATAAATTCATTAATTTGGCAGAATATACATATATAGTACAGCTGGTTGATCCTGTATTAGCAAAATTAAATTTTTTTTTGGACAGTACAGTATTCCACAGACAAAACATTTATTAAAAACCCTTGCACCACTATTTCACAGTTGCTACACTTTGTGATGAGACTAACCTTAAACATATCTTTATTATAGAGCTCCTAGTAAACATTATCTAAAAATCCTTCCTTAATATTTGTAACTTTTCCTTCTCCCTGCCCACCACAGCAGTGTCCTTTCCTAACAGCAGCTGACTTACCTTTTCCTTCCAGCTGCTCACCACAGCAGTGTCCTTTCCTAACAGCAGCTGACTTACCTCTTCCTTCCAGCTGCCCACAACAGCAGTATCCTTTCCTAACAGCAATTGATTTACTTCTTCCTTCCAGCTGCCCACCACAGCAGTGTCCTTTCCTAACAGCAGCTGACTTACCTTTTCCTTACAGCTGCCCACAACAGCAGTATCCTTTCCTAAGAGCAGCTAACTTACCTCTTCCTTCCAGCTGCCCACCACAGCAGTGTCCTTTTCTAATAGCAGCTAACTTGCCTATTCTTCCAGCTGCCCTCCACAGCAGTGTCAACTCGTAACAGCAGCTGACTTACCTCCTCCTTATATTTTGATGGATCAACTTTGAGAGGTATGTAGAGGCTGGGTAACTTCCTGTCTTCTCGATAGCTCTCATTATACAATCGCTTCCTTTCTTCTTGGCTTATGTTTTTTCTGGACGAACTTTTCTTTTTGTGCAAGACTCTTGTTCTTTCAGATTCATTCTCTGGTTGACACATCTGAGATTCAGCTTTGAGCACACTTTGCCTTTGTTTAGGCCTTGTGCCTGTAACCAAGTATTCTTGGTCTCCTGTATTCCCTCTATTTTTTTGTAACATTAAAGCTTGTGTGGTAATGTCTTTTTCTTCAATACTCCCCTCTTCCAGCATTTTCTGGCCAATCATTGTCAATTCCTCCCATCTGACACCCCCAATTATATCACTTCGTTGTGAAAAGCAACCAATCTGTTTTTCCTCTTCCTGGTTTTGATCTGTTCCTTGTGTACTTTCTTGTATATCCTCTACAAGAGTACTACTACTGTCACTACTGTCATTGTTGTTGTTGCTGTCATCATTGACACTATTGTTGTTGTTAATCGGAGTTAAGCTAATGTTGGACTGATGTAAAGGTGGATCTTCTTGACCCTCTGGTGGTGCTCTCTCACTCAGTGCAGGACTTGACTGTTAAAGGAATGGTTAAATTAAGTGGACACAAAAGTAATTTAATAATTATAAAGTTGTATATCAGTCTGGGATAAAAATAACCAAATTATCTAACCTGGCAAATACAAATTTAAATGTCTATCCCAGTAAAATCACAAACAAAATTAATTAAATAGAGAATTTAATGTCCTACAGATGTTACAGTTACACCAACATACAATTACAAATTAATTGACCATGTGCAAAGAGGCAATAGCTAAAACTCACCTGGTCAAGACTGATAAACAGTTCATCTAAAGCTAATGAGACAGGCAGCAGTCCCTGGTCTCTCAGGTTAGATAACAGGTCCCTCAGATCACCTAGATCACGAATTTCAGTTCCTTTTGACAGGTCACCACATAAACTGAGCCGACTAGAGACAGAAAAACATAAACAATTATTCATTGTCATAATGCAAAGCCCACAAGAAATAGAATTACCAAGCATGTAAAATTTTTGAAATGGTTAAGTTGTAAATATAATTCATAACCTGCAATGAAAAGCACAAATTTCTGGGTAAAGAGTATATTGGATCATCAAAATGATGCTTCTGAACGAGGACATTTACACAAATTTTCAAAAGCATCCAGCTGTAGGAATTGCTTCAAATTTGCCTGATGGCAACTGGGACACCTTGCCATCAGGTAATCAAGCTAACCTACACAAGCATGGAAATGGCCATAAAACAGTGATGATGATTTACTCCTCACTGTAATGTAGTACCTGTAGTATCATCTTTTTTCCACAGTTAATTTTGTGAGCTGGGGACACCTCATTTCTTCCTCTAAATTATTAATACTGATTTCCATACATTCACTAATCCCCATGTTTACTTTTCATGTAAAAAACTGGCTCAACTTTGGAGTAAATTATACCACTTGACAGCATCAACTGAATATGATTGAATAAATCTAATTATCAACTGGCTTATCAGCAGCTAATTTGTTTCTCAGACATACCATATACACTGGACTCGTGTATAAACTGATCGCATATATTGTTCAACCCAATTTAATGGTAACAAAGACCGAGTTTTCATATATCTCTTGTATAATTCTATCCTAGCTTTTGAGAAATGCTAGGTATAATACTAGATATAATTTGTAGTAAGACACAAAACTCAGACCAATGTGTCTTGGCTGTGACCACCACCACCAAAACAGCTGACACCATGAACAGTGTTACCTCTCTGAAACTGAATTCCTGCAAGTTACCAACTCCTGAGGAATAAGATAAAATTTTTATCATGTGATGTGAGGAATAAATACAAATAATTCCAATATATAAATAAAAAATACTGTACAATCTGTATGTAAGACTGTGTGTGCATGTAATATAGAAAAAATAAATAAATAAAAAATGTATATCAACCTGAAATTACAAGTTGAAAAATACACATAACATAGTTCACAACTTGGCCTGAAATGGCAAGGAGAGAGGGCTAGTATGAGTCTTGTGTAACTATTACATATACAGTGGTTCCTCGGTTAACGAGCACAATCCGTTCCAGCAGGTTGCTCGTTAACCGAAACCATTGTTTCAATGGATTTTTGGGTAATTGGTTCCAGCTCACCGAAAATTGCCTAAATTCAACAAAAAAGGTAGAAAAGTACACTTACTTTGAGGTGTGTATGTAGAAGGCTCCTGGATGATGATGATGATGATGATGGGAATTAGAATGGGGGTGGAGGAGAAGGAAGAAGAGAAGGCATTGGGTGGAAGAGAAGTCACCCCATGGCACCATTTCATCCATAAAATTTTAGTTCTCTTGGTGTAATTCAAGATTATTTTCTTTAAATCAACACTGCACTGCATTATATATTGTCAATATGAAAAATAAATTTCAAAATGACCAATAATTTGCTTGGAAACACAGAAAAAAGCGTTCAGTTGAAGAGTCTCAAGCAAGATGTCACCTCCACTGAAAACAGAGAGAGACTAACGCCTGTCTGGTGTGTTAACAGGCTGGATGGCACGCCCCAGAAACTAATTTCTTTCCCTTCAATTATGTTCAATAATTGTTAAAATGACTAAAAAAGTTAATATTAAACTTTTAAAATTATTGAATAGTATAAACTTCTTGATATTTACTAAAATAGTAAAGAATTTAAGCCCTAAAACCGATTACTGTATTGGCGGACTAATACTACAGCTGGTGGACCGCCAAATGCAAGCGAAAACATAATGAAGTCGGCTAGTAAAAAACTCGTTAATCGAGGGATTGCTCGTTAACCGAAGTTAAGAATCTTATGGAAGGTAAATAGTTAACCGAAATCTCGTTAACCGAGGGATCACTGTACAAAACTAATAGAAAATACTGAAAAACAAACAAAAATATAGAAATGTGAGGAATATTATCACATAATAGAAAATACTGAAAAACAAACAAAAATATAGAAATGTGAGGAATATTATCACAGATGTATAGTGACGGCCTACATAGCAAGTCAAAAGGCTGAAGCAAACTCACGCTTCCATACCACCTACCTTTCTTATGTTAGTTAACAATTGTGCTACCTGTACTTTAAACATTTTTATACAACCTAGATGAAAAAAAAAATGCAGCTAAAACAATTAAGGCAAAGCTAAATTGCCATTTGCATAGACGCTGGCTGCTTGGCCTCAACACTTACCATAGCAACATTTATTATTATTATTATTACACTGCCTCTGCCTACCCCCACACTCCGGTCCCTCCTCCCGCTCAGCCTTCTATCTCCCGTGTGCAAAATAATGTTTATTCCATTTATTGATAATTATTTCTTTTAATTTTTTTGCACAATACAGTGATATCCACCGTTAGCAGGAACAATAGGTGCAGATCACTTACGGGAATGAGAGATTTCCAGGTAACGAGACAACTCTCAAAACCGGAAAAAAATCTCTCGTCCCTGGAATTTTCCGGGTAATGGAAAAATGTTCACGGAAGTTCCATAAATTGCCCATTACATCAACTCTCAAACCCAGGAAAAATATCCCTCATCCCCGGAATTTTTCAGGTAACGGAAAAGTTTTCCCGGAATTTCCTGAAAATGCACCAGATTTTCATCTCTCAATCCCGGAAAAAACTCCCCATCCCCTGAATTTTCTGGGTATCGGGAAAATTTTCTTGGAATTTTCCAGAAGATGTGCCCCTCGGAAAATCGTTCCCAAAACCAAAATTTTCTGGAAAATTACGGCTTTGGGAACGATTTTCCAAGAAAATTTCAATTCCGGTTATCAGAGAGTTTGGGGTTTGAGGGATTCCGGTTAACGGAGATTGTGTGTGTATATAAATTAAGAAAGTTACGTATATCTACTCAAAATTACGAATTGAAAAATAATAAAAAAATCTCAAAGCTCGGTCTGGTTTTGAAAAGACTAGGGGGATGTGACTACAATGCCAAGTCTAACTAGACAACAATGCCACCAGTGATGTTAATAGACGCAAATAAAATGAACATTATGTGTAAATCTTCATTAGTATCAGGTATTTGTGAAATTAAAATGGCATGTACAGTAAAGTCTCTCCTCAACTTACGACGGGGTTCCGTCCCGACGATCAGGTTGTAAGTCGAAAAGGCGAAAATAATACATAAAAATTCTAAAATGGGTGTCTCTTTTTCTTCTCAGCACCACGAGAACTCTCACTTTTACGCTTGCCAGCCATTTTAAATGGAATTACAAAAAAAAATTTTGTCAGTACACAGCGCGATCACTAACGCAGGACTAGAAAATACGTAATTTGAAAAATACTTTATACGACCACGGCGGTCGTATCTCCGGGTTGTCATAAGTCGAGTATGTCGTAAGTCGAGGAGTACCTGTATAGTGAATGAGGTTCTGTTCTTTATGTAGCAACATAAAGAATCTAAGGGTACAGTAGGCAATCCCAAGATAAAATAGCTTGCTGGTAAGGTTAGCCTACCACGAGCATGTACTGTAAATGACACATGAAATGCACAATTTGAACCCTTCAAAAATACTATGCATATATGGTTCAACCCCCCTACTTCTGCATAAAAATTTAATCATAAAGACTTGAGCTGCACTCAAGTATCCACGATAAGTACTATTATTATAAAAACAAGTCATTCTTAGTTATAATTCTTACTTGTGTATGGCTTTACTGTGTTCCTCAACATCTGTTGTATCAGTGAAGGAGACTCTCTTCTCAACGTTCTTGGAGCCCGGCAGGTTACGACGATGAACCACAACAAGTTCATTTTCTCCACAAACATTTTCTTCTTGCCTAGTAACTTGAGTGCAATTGTTCGTGTCTGCCTCCACACTTCTTCTAACATGTTCCTTATTTTGCACACGTCTTTCTCCACTAGTTTCCTTTAATAATTTTTCCTTAAATCTTATATTGTCTTCTAAATTCTTTTCAACTTTAGAAACATTAACACATTTATCTATATTATCACAGCTTGTTATTGGTCTCTTCCCATCTTGGGAAACATCTGTTCTGGAGTCAAATGGAATGGATCCTAGACTTTCAAAAGAAATTCTTTGGTTACAAATAGCAGCATTCTGAGGTAACTGGCCCACTTCAGCAGCATTATTTGTCGTCTTGACCTCTGACTCAACAGGAGTTGTGCCCCCTGACGACACACGTGATGAGCTTTGTGAGGATGACCGGCTGCCTCTCTTTCTCCTGGATGCCTTTTTGAAAAACAAAGATTTAAATAAGTTAGACATCTTTATAAGAGGCTAAAACCACATCAAATGAACCGTCTATATAGCAGATATGCCTATCATGTTATCTCTGACTCAACATATATAATATAATCTTATCTCTTAAGAAGAAAGTCACATATCGGTACACACGTGTCATTTGATATGCTCAGACAGTTACTGTATCTGTTTTCAATATAAGTACTGTATAATGAAAATAAAGTAAAATAATTCACATGTACTGCAAGTAATAAAAAAGTTAGCTTAAAACACAATGTGAAATATTGAAAATAAGATACTAACCCCGAATGGGCCCAAAATTGCAGGAATTAAGATGTACAGTATATTGTACTGTTATCTAGAAGTGCAGCACTTAACCAAGTATCTCAGAAACCTGATATCTATCACCTACTACAGTATATCAAAGAAAGCTGTATTTTGAGTGATCTATGGCTACTTTTTTTCTAAAAAAACAACATCTTTTGTACATTTCTGAATTTCCCCACTTTTCAGTGGCAACTTCATTAATCCTCTCGCACATCATGATATGAATCACATCAAATTACTGAGAGCCTTAGCTCACCAGGGTGTACTTAGCAGTATGGAACTTACAAGTCACTCACTGATGAGCCATAATTATAAAGTCACTAGCTATTTTTAAGAACATTTAACAGGCCACAGAATAAAAAAAAAAAATTGTCTGCTGCATTAAAAGTAAAATTTACTTTATTACAGAAAAAACCATGAATTCCAGTTTTTCACAACTGAAATTCAGTTATCTCTTATGTCAAAAAATACTGTACAGGGGTATTTTAATCTAACAATGCTGGCCCTAATTTTCATCAAATAACAAAGCATGAGTAATTGCCACTGCCTCACCACGATGATCCTGTATGTCAACTTTTTAATTACTGTAATCACTTCAATGGCTCTGAAGTGGTCATTGTTTTTTCTCTTACCAGTGACTGGTATGGAAGCCACATAAGGAGATCACTCAAAGAACAAATACAGGTATCCCTAGATTTACAATTTCCCTCTTTACAATATTTCGCTTGAACGACGGTGGTGTATTAAGACCACCTCCCTATTTATGATAAAAAAAATTTCACACGAATGATGGTCATCCTCCGGCCAAACTTGTTGACGCGAGGAATACGGAATGTATCTCTCACTGCACCTGTAAGCCGCAGCGTCACCTGGTGCACTACAGTCCCACGCTTTGTTCCACGGTGATTGAATCTACCTGTGATCATGTAGCTCTTAATGATGTGGAGAGTGTAGTTTAATTATGTTTTAGCTATTTTATTAGTGTAGGAATTTTATTTTCGGCGATACATGTGGGTGTCGGACTGGCTGCGAAAGTATCCCATTGAAACCCATGTTATAATGATCCCAATTAAAAATATTTCAGTTTGTGTTGGGGTTTTCAAAAATGTAACCACAGTGTAAATCAGAGGATACCCAAACATAAAAAAAAACAATAATGGGCAACTTAACAATGTTTCTTAAAATTCATTACTATAATGATATAAATTAAAAATCAATATACTGTATCAAGTTTTGGTGAATGTAAGATATTTGCTATATGATGTATACTGTACATAGCTATCACACACACACACCATCTTGTCCTTTGCCCTGGTCAGCATGTAAAGGCCTTTTCCTTGTATAGAGACTTCATTTTCATCACATTTGTCTCTTTATTTTCAAAATAAAATTCTTTATATTTACATAGTGGTCCTCAAACATTAAAAATCCAGAGGAACAAAGTATATTCTACAGTGTGATGACTAGAGTGTATCAAGAGTCATTCTTTCTCATGTTTGATACTGTATACTGCTTCATCGTGCTCAACATCCAGACCAGAGCCATTAGAAATGGAGACTAAGAATACTCAACAGGCATTCAAGTGATTCAAGGCTTGTACAGATGCCAGCTTCCAGTGTACCTTAAAATATCATTTAATCATAAGTGTTAAAAGCAAAACATAGCAAATCTGTTGCAGAAGATTACATGCACACTGCTAGTTGTTTAGTTACCATTATCACAGAATCACAGATGCATTGCCCCTCAAAAAAAAAAAAATAAATAAATAAATAAAAAAAAATATTATATATACCTGTATATATATATATATATATATATATATATATATATATATATATATACACAAAGTGAAAACATTTAAATATTTTGCTAAACAGAGTTAACAGATTGTTTTTATTATCACTATAAAGTTGCCAAGACTTAAACATGCAAAAACAACATTAATATAAACTTTATTATATGCAAACAAGAGCAACTCTTTGGTGTAATAAGAAATCTCTCTTCTCAAAAAACAAACAGCTTTGATTATGGCTGGTGCTTACTGTCTGTCTCTGGACCAAGTTTTGAATCAGTGGTCAATGGTTCCATTATCTACCTAACCCACACAAGCATGGAAAAGGCCATAAAATGATTATGATTATTGATGATGATGATGGTGACGAGTACAGTGTTTGGGCATGCATACAAGTTTGACGGTTTGGTCATGAGTGTAAGTGTGAGTATTGAAGCATACAAACATGCAAAAGTTCATAAAATAAGTACAAGTACTGTACACCCCTATTCACTATTATTATTCTTGAGTGAAAACACTTTGACGTAACAAACTCTACAAAACAACTAAAAATAAACTTAATATACAACTTACTCAACAAAAGTCTCGCTAATAGAAAAATGAAATAAAACAGAATACAGAGTGAAAAAGTGTTTGATATGTAAAACTTTTTTAATCTTTGTCATAATATGGGGAAATTACATTTGAGGGTGTGCTTTGACAAGGCATCCTGTGATTAAGATAGGCTTGCCAAGCACACCACGAAATTTGAGTTAACCTTGGGTATCAGCCACTTGGAACTGGCATTCCATGTCATACTACAGCACTTGTATTATTATAGACAGGTTTAGTGAGCCAGGTGGGCTTTTCCAATAAGCAAAAACGGGATCTGGTTAATTCTATTAGCACTGACTCACACTACCTATCAATATTATATTGCTTCCTCAATGAGGATTTGAACCCAGGTCCAATGGATTGCCAACCCAGTACAATAAACCCTCTGCCACTGTACCTCAACTTGGAAATTACTCTATTTGTATCTCAAGGTGATGATTCTTTACATGCTTATTATATTAAAAGAGTCTTGTTTTCTCGCTAATTGCAGCTGAACAAAACTTGCAGTTGCTTGGGAATTTCTTTTGTAGCCAGTAATTGTCACAAAGTCATGACTAGTAAAAAGAATTATAAAGTATCTGGGACACCTTATCCTACCATTCCTTTGTCCACTTATCATAATGTTGGTGTTTAACTTTCAGTTTAAAAAGATCTGCATTAATATTTTTTGTTGCATAATACATTATTACAAGCAGTTCCCAATTTACAAAGATACAGTTTACAAAATCCAAAGTGGCGGAAAAAAAAATGTAGATTTACATAGGGTACAAAAAATTCTGTAACACTTTTTCTACCACAGCATTCAAAGATCCTGGGGTGCTGCTGACACAGCATCTCAGGGCCTCTTGTACTGGATCTGGTCAGTATATGAAGACAATTAAATTAAAAACAACACACAGTAGGGTCGGGATATACTGTATAGCGACTTTATATAACGATTATTTTTATATCGCGGCTTCCAAAATTATCGACATTTTCCTATATATAGCAATAAATTTATTTACAGTAGACTCACAACTTACGTGAGGTTATGTTCCTGGAACCTCACATAAAGCCAAAAACTGTATAAAGTCAGAAACACTCCTAAAAATTCCCTAAATAGCCCAAAAGTTATGAGATGAAAAACTTTTAACTCTTGTGTAAAATATATGACGTCTATATTCAAATTATTCGGTGTCTTGCAAGGATCCCAGCAATGCAATTTATATTCTGCTAACTTTAGTCTGTGACATTTTATAAGATAAAAATTTTAAGTCTAAAACCACAGTCACCCTTACGGGAAGTCGGAGAGGAGTTGATTTATTATGACAGCTGGGCCGAAGCAGACAGCTGTTACCTAGTGGTATTTATTTATCTGTCATATAGGGGGAGTTTATGTTTTTCTCTTATAAAATGTCAATGAATTAACTTAAGAGAATATAATTAACATTGCTGGAATTCTTGTAAGATTGTGATTAATTTGAATATAAGCATACTATAGTTTGTAATACATAAAAAAATTAATAATAATTAGTACATTTTAGTACAAAGGACTAAAAATTTTATCTCGTGCAAAATATATGATGTCTATTTTCAAATTATTTGCTGTCTTGCAAGGATTCCAGCAATGCAATTTATATTCTGCTAACTTTAGACTGTGCCATTTTGTGTCAAGTTTATTAACTTTTATTGGCTTCCAGAACCTAACCCTAATTTCCCCATTGATTATATGCAATTATATACCACAATTTAGTATATAGCGAACATCCTTGGACCCTATCTCGTGATATATCCCGACCCTACTGTACAGTACTGAACTGTATTAAGAGTGGTGAAGGAAGCTAAAAATAAAAAAACAGTACATGTTGTGTTTAGTTATCATGGCTCACAGAATTGCTATGTAGAGCAGTGGCAAGATGCCGACTCAAAATATCTCAACTGTGGGAACATTGATGTGTAGTATCCCAGAGTTTAATCTGGTGCCAATGGAAAGAATAAAATATTAAATGTTCAAATTCAGCATTTCTCCTTGTGATTAAACGACCCCAATAATAAAATCCAATGAAAGTTAAACATTTAGATTACAATACTGCCAGTATATGGGATTGTCATTTGGTGGAAAATTCTGCTCGTGCAACTGTCTGACCTTGGGATGCATGTATCCAGTGTGTGCCAGTTATTGTGCACAGTGCTTCACAATAATAAATGTCTTAACAAGTGCCCGCTTTGGACTATGGCTTCCCAGGAAACCCAAGAGACTCACAAGCCTATTGATAGCCCTGAAGAGCCATCTACT